CTAAATTAATGGAGATATCCTATCTCCTAGAACTGGAAGGGACCTTGAAAAGTCATCGAGTCCAGCCCCCTGCCTTCACTAGCAGGACCAAGTACTAATTTTGCCCCAGCTCCCTAAGTGGCCCCCTCAAGGATTGAACTCACAACCCTGGGTTTAGCAGGCCAATGCTAAAACCAGTGAGCTATCCCTCCCCCAGGTTGTGTCATTACTTCTGTTTAAAGGTCGACATTTCTAAGTCCTCTAAAATCAACATGGTCACTTGGATTCCTTGGAAATTTGGTGTGCCTCAGAAGAGTCACTTGAGATAGGGACTGCGAAGATGTAAGCCCTGATAAAATAGTCTCAGTTTTAACAAAGGGAGTGCAAGACACCACTAAATCCTCACAGACCCAAACTGAGACTGGTATTTACAAAAATGTACATTTTTATAGTGTCCATGCGCCAATACAAAAGAACAGCTAGAGGGTTTCCATTCCTGCCATCTTATATGCTTTAAAGCTCAGCACCTGTAAGTGTTCCAAAATCCAAATAGTTACTCAGATCACTTTGAAATTTGGTGCACCACATGGGGACATGGGTAGTGTTAGTGATCCAAATTTGGGGTCATTTGGGGTCCAAGTTACATGCCTCCCCCACCCCCCAAAATGTTTTCCTTCTGCTGCCTTGTTCTGTTAAACAGAGAGGTACTAATGAGTGAATGAATGACAGACCTCATTGAGATTGTTGGCTGTGAACTTACTGTGACGTTCCCCTCTGGTGTTATCTGGACCGGTGATCTGCTAGGTCACTCCAATCCTTGACTCTGTGAGCCAGCCTTACCCTGCTCTGCTGTGAGAACCCCCACCCCTGGGCTGTTCACACACAGCCTCTGGCATGCAAGCTGCTCCTTGGATTGTGCAACCAAATGACACTAGCCAATATCTCCGGTCCCAGACACAACCCTAGGAACCTCCGTCTTGCAGTGTCCAGTTATGCCCACTTATGTGAGTTCGTCAATTTAACAAAGAAATTGATATGTACCAGGCTTGTTGTCCCAAGGGGAGTCTCTGACATGTTTCAAACTAAACACACTGCTTCAGGTAGAACAAACAGATTTATTAACTACAAAGATAAATTTTAAGTAATTATAAGTTAAAGCATAAGTCAGATTTGGTCAAATGAAATAAAAGCAAAACGCATTCTAAGCTGATCTTAACACTTTCAGTGCCCTTACAAACCTAGATGCTTCACACCACAGGCTGGCTGGCTGCTCTTCAGCCAGGCTCTCCCCTTTGATCAGTGCTTCAGTCGCTTGGTGTGGTGTCTGTAGATGTAGGTGGAAGAGAGAGAAAGAGCATGGCAAACGTCTCTCCCTTTTATCATGTTCTTTCTTCCCTCTTGCCTTTGCCCCCCCCTTCAGAGTCAGGTGAGCATTACCTCATCGCAGTCCCAAACTGACCAAAGGAAGGGGGGTGACTCACTCGAGAGTTCAACAGATCCTTTTGTTGCTGCCTAGGCCAGCATCATTTGTTCCCGTGAGGCTGGGCTGGGTTTGTCCCATGCATACCCTGATGAGGTGTGAACTGCCTCTCTGCTCTTGGAGAGTTTTTGCCTGGGCTTATTTTAAGCCATGAGGATACATTTTCAGCCTCATAACTATATACATGAAATTATAACCTATAACATTACTGTGACAACAATTACTCACATCACTGTAACGACAATGCTCAGTGCATCATGAGCCTTCCGAAGACACCCGACATGACAAACTTTACATTGGATACCACACAATCATTTTACAAGGATGAACATGGGGGTGCTGGGTGTTCCCCCGAGGTACAGAGCATCACACTTACCCTTCAATTAACATAACTAAGGCCTGGTGCACACTACACAGTTAGGCTGACGTAAACTACCTTCTGTCGACCTAGCTGTAGAAGTATCTTCACTTAAATTGACTCCTGCCAATATAAGTTACCCATTTAGTAACATCACCTCCCCTAGTGGAAGGTCAATGCAGTGTCAGTGTAGACACTGCATTGCTTCCATCGACTGTTACTGGCTTTCAGGAGCCATCCCACAATGCCCCACACCGACAATTCAATCAATACAAATGCTCCTGGTGAGGACGTGCACTGCCGACACAAGGAGCCAAGCGTACACACACACACACAAGTGATTTAATAACTACGGTGGCTGTATGCTGACGTAAGGCAACATATTTTTATAGTGTAGACATGGCCTAAATATAAGTTAATTACAAGCCCTCACCTAAGACAAAAAACATTTTGAACTGAGGGTATGTCTATACTAAAACTGCTACAGAGGCATATCTGCAGTGCTGTAGCAGTGCTTCCATGTAGACATTACTGATGAGAGGGTTTCTCCCATCACTACAGGTAACACACCTCCTCAAGAGGCAGTAGCTAAGTCAATGGAAGAATTCTATTTTGATGGGAATGTAATCAAAATATTTTGCAGAAAAAAATTAGACATGTGAATGCTTCCTGGAAGGGGCACTAAGGGGCAGAGGAGTGGGGAAAGAGGAGGAGAAGGGTTGGGGGCTGAAGTAAAGAGAGGAGGTTATGGAGGAGGATAAAGCAGGATGGGTGGTATGGGAGGGGAGAAAGGTTAGGAACTCAAGTGAGGAAGCTGTGGGAGCTAGGGGGACTGGAGGGGTGGGACACTGGGATGGTGGATGTGGGAGTGAGTTTCGGGGGAGTGGGGGAGAATAGAGGCTGAGACATCAGTGAGACCCACATTCTTCCCTCCCATGTGCCCATATCTGGGGAGCCCTGGCCCCTCTAGGGGGATTTGAGCAGCCCTCCCTCCCCCTCATGTGATCTAGGGTATGGGGGGGCTTTCCCCTCACTGGTTTCTGAGCCCTTCTCACTGCCTTCTATGCATGTGTGCCAGGGTCTGGTGGGTCCCATGCCCATCTACAGGGGTTGGACACCACCTCCCTCTCTCTCCTCAAGTGAGCCAGTTCAGGGATGGGGGGTTGCCTATTGGGATGGTTTGAGGCCCCCTCCCTGCTGCAGGATCTGGGGAAGTCCTGCCCATTTGGGTGGGGAGCTAGCACTGGTATGTCTCCTCAAACTCAGAATTACCTCCTCCCCCAGCTTATGTGACCTCTCAGTGGGGTATGATGCTGTATCATGAGTCCCTTTGGGGAAGCACAACAGTTCCAGCTCCACAGGACTGCTGAGACCACTCACTCTGCAGCACAGGTGCTGAAAAGTCAAAGGGAGGCTCTGAGCTGTAAAGGCTGTCCCTTTCCCTGCCTCTGTGTCTGACTGATCTTATGAGGTTCTGGAGAAGAGGTGGTTAGAGTATCTGAGAGTTGCCAGCAGAGACTGGAACAGAGAAGCAATGTGGAAACTGCCAAACCCCTGCTTCCGATTTGGAAAGACTCCCTAGCTTGTGGGAATAGAGAAGGGTGCTTTTTAAGAGGTAGGTCTGACTTCACTTCATGTTCTCTTCATTCAGCTGCCCACCCTGAGTGCCTCACTAAGACTACTGTCAGGTACTCTGCATGGGGCTATACCTTAACTATGGCTTTGTAAGAGTATCTTGACAGGAGTATATGCTACACCGCCTGCCTGTTGGTTTCCAGGTGAAGTTTAAAATGTTGACTTTACTTCTCTCTGTGCGCCACACTTTCACAGGTGAAGTCAGCAGAGGTGCTTGAGCTAAAGCTCCACAGGTATACATGAGAAAGGGCTTCTGAGCAAGTGTTCTTTGTGAAGGCCTCACAACTTCGGAATTCACTCTCCCACAGCCTCCATTGCCTTAGTCTATGTCTACACTCTGCACCTTACAATGGCACAGCTGGGCTGCTACAGCCGCACCATTGTAACGTACGCAGCGTAGCCGCTCTTTGTCCCAGGAAGAGAGCTCTCCAGGCAACAAAATAAAACCACCCCCAACGAGGGGCGATAGCTTCATCACTGGGAGAGCATCTCCTGCCAACAAAGCGCTGTCCACACCGGTGCTTTTCATCATTAACACTTTTTTCATTCAGGGGTGTTTTTTCACACTCCTGAGCAACAAAAGTTTTAACAATGAAACATAGCCTTAGTCTGCAATAGGCCGAATCTGAAAATCTTCAAGTCATGCTGTAAACCTTATCTTGCCACCCAGGCAGATAAAAATGGGGAGCTTTGGAATAGAAAAATTTAAGAGGGGGAAATAATGGAGAGGGAGGGGGATTTAATCTTCTGAGTTATCTGGTTTGCTGGTGGTGGGTAATTATAAGGGGAGCTGGTAGCAAACTCTATACGTAGGTTGCCTAACACTTTCCAGTACAAAGGATTCTTGTGACCTTATCTATGAGAAGCTCTCAAATCTCCATTGTTTGCTGCAGGCCTTTGAAAACTGGACCAGGAAAATACCTTTTCTTTGAACCATGAAATTCCATTTAGCTTTTGCTCAATTGTAAACTGTTAAATACATAGGTACCTCTCAGTGGTACCTCTTATTTCAGGGGATATTGCTCATTTAGTCCCCACATTCCATACAAATTTGATGTCTCCTCAATGAAAATCATTGACATTGATAATAAAGAATCAGAGAACTGAAGTTATACAAAGAGTTATTTATACTGAAGGGGTGGCTCCCAGAACATTTTAATTTTCCTGCAGGAATGATTTTTTTCTGCCCCTCATGTTTGGTTTTTGTCATACACAGTATCTCAGCTCTTGGCAGGTTGAGAAGCATGTACACAGGCACCAAGGGAACCCTACCTTTGACCCTCTGATATGGCTCTCCTCTCTGGTAAATGGAAGGAGGGTCAGAGAATGGAAGTCACCAGCATACCTGTCACTACTGATTTAATTGGGACATGCCCGGGTTTTGAGAACCTAATCTGGGAAACTTCTGGTCTGATCAGTGTCATAGGACTGTGTAGCAGAGATATGTATAGTATAGAAGAAAAGAACCTTGTGAACAGATCCAAGCTCAAATGTCATATTTTTGTTACTAAGTCTATCAGTATGATAAAGCAGAGAAATCAGACTCACCAAGATCTAGATGAATGCCTGGAACAAATGAATTGAGAAAGAACATCAGGATAACAAATCCCAACACAGTCAGGCATTTGATGAGAAGTATTTTGTCTGTTATTCTGTGCTGTAAGTAGGAAAAACATTCAGCAACTATGTTACAGAAGAATTTATTATACTGTACACACTTTCAATCCCGCATGCATTTGTAAAGCATAAATCTCTTACTGTAAAGGAAAGGTGATACAGGAGAGAAAAGTAAAAATCTTAAGTTAGGGAAAAGATTCTCTTGGGGGGGAAAAAGAAAATTCTGTAGAAACAATGCTATTTTAGACAACAAAAATCTTTTGACATTAGCTACAACTTCTAAATTTATTTCGTATGTAATTGATAATAAAGGAAGTCGATTTTTAAACATTTTCATTATCATACTGTATGTTAGGTAAGTGATTACAATTTAGCAGAGGCCACTGTAGATTTAAGGCCCTTGACACAAATGTGAACAGCAGGAATCTGCAGGTCATGACTGCTCAAAATATTTATATTTGTTCAGCTACCCCAGTTTTAACTTTATTGTAATGGGAACAGTAACACTAAAATGCAATTTCCATTATAATCAGGGCCCAATGCAGTCTGTGATTCCATGGCACAGAAATAAATTAACCCCATGCTATTGAATTCTGCTCCAAAATCTTAGAACCTAATCTACAGGTTCTACTCTTTCCCTTTATTCATCATTCTAGTCTCCACTTTCTACCTAATTCCTGCACCCTCCTTTCCTGACGCCTCTTTTCCCCCAAGATCATATTCTTATCACCAGGCCCCATCTTCTCCCCGATTCCTCTCTAGTTTCCTTTTTTAGTCCCAGTCTTCTCTATTGTCCACTGGTTCCTCTTTCTAGTCTCACTTGCTCCACCTAGATTCTTCCCCCACTCCATCCTGATTCCTCTGTATAGTCCCAACCTTCTCCCACTCTCTGTCCTGGTATTCCCCTCTCTAGTCACCATTTTCTTCACACACACACACACACACACACACACACACACACACACGGTTAAGACTATTTAAAAATCTGATCACACTTTATACTAAGGTTCTTTTAATAAGAGGTTGATTAGACTGTAGCTCTTTGAAACAGGAACTGTATTTGTTCTGTGTCTGTACTGCACAGAGAATTGCTAGCCCTGGTCCATGATTGGTGTTCCTAGGTGCTATCACACCACAAAAAATATATTAATATTTATATCATTAACATATTTATATTATGTTATAGATGGTAATAAGGATATCAGTAGAAGATGTTCTCTATAGCTACAAGCCATGATATAAGCAACCTGTTGAACGGTTGGAATCTATAACGATGGATTAGCAATTTATTAAATCATCAGTTAATCATGTATTAACACTTTACAAAAGTATTTATAAATGGAAACTCAGTATAAAGTGTGACCAAAAAATCATCATTAAGTAAATTTAAGGTTGCAGGTATATATCAGACAGTGGGGGGGGGGGCGCGAGTGTGTGTGTGTATGTATATATACCTAAAGTACATTATAGTTAAAACAAAACAAAAAAAATAAGAAACACAGGAAATTCAAACTTAAGGTTAAACTTAAAAGAAACGTTAACATCTGAATGTGCTACCTTAACTCTGTCCCATTCAGAAGCCAGCCCACCAGCTTTTCTTCCCTGCATGGTGAGTATTTGATAGGTGCACTGAATTGGTTCCTGCATTTTCTTCTAGGATATACTTCAAAATATTATCGGTGTACCAAATCAGAGGACCAGTTCTTCTGAAACTTAGTATAACTGCCATTTACCTACCTTTTTTTGGAGCTCCTGAATATTTGTTTCCCAGTTTTTATCTTCTTGTGAAATTTGTCTGAAAGAAAAGGACACATGCCCTTTAGTTATGAAATTAGAGTTCTGCCACAATGTTAATATAGTATTGGAATAAGTCCTCTTTATTACAACTAGCTCCTCTCACACAGGGCCATCCCTAGCTGTTCTGGGGCCCTACGCAGCCCCCCCCGGGGGGGGGGCGGGGCGGGCCTCTGCGGGGGGGATGGGGAGAGCTGGCTTGTGGGGTAGAGGGGAACCACCCCCCAGCACTCACCGGCAGCGCGGCTGGGGCCAGGTTGCTGCACTCCCGCCGCCAGTGAGTGCAGGCCTGGCCCTGCTGCACTCCTCAGGGGAGTGGGGGCAGGGCTGGGAAGAGGCGGGGCGGAGCAGGGGCGGGGGCCCTGGGGAAGAGCTGGAACAGGGGCTGGAGCAGCATGCAGCTGCTCAGGGCACCAGGAAATTTGGTGCCCCAAATTTCCTGGTGCCCTACGCAGCTGCATGCTTTGTGTATGGGTAAGGACACCCTTGCTCTCACATTTAGACCATCCTCTTACTTAGAGTGCATTGCTTATATAAGTATGAAACCATGGCCTTATTACAACCAATAGCAAAACTCCCATTAACTTCAATGGGACACGGATTTCACCTTAAAAACCCAATCCTGCAGCACATAGACCCTATCCTTATGAAAAGTCCCACTGACTTCAAAGAACTCTGCAACATTTTAGGTCTGAACTAGCAAACTTCACTGCAGGACTGAGGCCAAAGACTGTAGTTAGTTCCTGCACCAGTTCTGGAAGTTGACATGTGCCATTTTGAGATAAAACAATGGTGATGTGCCAGCAAATTAAAGAAATATGGATTGGATGAATGGACTACAGGGTGGATAGAAAGCTGGCTAGATTATTGGGCTCAATGGGTAGTGATCAACGGCTCGATGTCTAGTTGGCAGCCGGTATCAAGCAGAGTGCCCCAGGGGTCGGTCCTGGGGCCAGTTTTGTTCAACATCTTTATTAATGATCTGGATGATGGGATGAATTGCACCCTCAGCAAGTTTGCAGAGAACACTAAGCTGTGGGTAGGGATAGGGTTCAGAGTGACTTAGACAAATTGGAGGATTGGGCCAAAAGAAATCTGATGAGGTTCAACAAGGACAAGTGCAGGGTCCTGCACTTAGGAAGGAAGAATGCCATGCACCGCTACAGGCTGACTAAGCAGGAGTTCTGCAGAAAAGGACCTGGGGATCACAGTGGACAAGAAGCTGGATAAGAGTCAGCAGTGTGCCCTTGTTTGCCAAGAAGGCCAACAGCATATTGGGCTGTATTAGTAGGAGCATTGCCAGCAGATCAAGAGAAATGATTATTCCCCTCTATTTGGCACTGCTGTGGCCACGCCTGGAGTACTGCATCCAGTTTTGGTGTCCCCCCTACAGAAGGGATGTGGACAAATTGAAGAGAGTCCAGCCGAGGGCAATTATCAGGGCGCTGGGGCACATGACTTACAAGGAGAGGCTGAGGGAATTGGGCTTATTTAGTCTGCAGAAGAGAAGAGTGGGGGGGGGGGATTTGATAGCAGCCTTCAACTACCTGAAGGGGGGTTCCAAAGAGGATGGAGCTCGGCTGTTCTCAGTGGTGACAGATGACAGAACAAGGAGCAATAGTCTCATGTTGCAGTGGGGGAGGTCTAGCTTAGATATTAGGAAACACTATTTCACTAGGAGGGTGGTGAAGCACTGGAATGGGTTACCTAGGGAGGTGGTGGAATCTCCATCCTTAGAGGTTTTTAAGGCCCGGCTTGACAAAGCCCTGGCTGGGATGATTTAGTTCGTGTTGGTCCTGCTTTGAGCAGGGGATTGGACTAGATGACCTCCTGAGGGCTCTTCCAACCCTAATATTCTATTATTCGTGTGTGTGTGTGTGTGCGCGCGCACACACACACTCACTCTGATAGAGATACATCATTTGCATTTTATAATGAAGTTTTTAAAATCTCGATTACTTTATTGAGTTATCAGTATAGTCAGCTCTTCCAGCATACCCTGGGGTTCAGGAGCTGTGCTATTAACAGTAATGGATTGCATATTGCTGCATTATTCTGAAGGAATCCTGACTTCCAGCATCAATGAGGTAGTTTATATGCACACTTCAGAAGTTCTCTCTTTGGTAAATCGTGATTTCTTATAATATTTTATTTCCTTTTTTTTTTTTTTTTTTTTTTTTTTTTTTTTTTTTTTTTTTTTTTTATTATTGCCTGATTTTGATCAGGATTTGATCATTCATAAAATGAACCTGCCAGACTATTCAATATGTACAATGTCAGTGTAAACATCATAGGATATAAACAAAACCACTTCAGGTTACTGAAAGAATTTTTAAAATCCAATTTACATTTCACTTTTCATGTCCTTTATTTAATTAACTACATTTCACTCAGCTTGGACAATGAAAATCAATAAAGTCAGTTTCACTTTTGTTTAGAGAGTCAATTTCACCATCAGGTTGTTTGTGCTGTACTACTTAGGTTTCAAATTCTAAAGAGCATCTTTTAAATGACATGCAGTGATTTTCATTGGAATTTAAAAAAAAATTGGATTAACATTTTGTTGGACTTAGGTTTTATTAAAGCTTTTCCCATCCTCAGCACAACATTTAAATTGTGGGTCATATTTAAATTGATAGCGCTTTCTTAAAATATTGTTAATAAATAATTTTATACATGAGTGGGATGTCTTCCAAAGTCTCATCCTCTTTGAAGAGCACTTTAATATTTTATTTTTTAAAATTATTTAGCAGCATGCCACACTGTATGTTCTGAAGGACACTGTTGAATGGAAAAGGATCACAAACTTACTTTTTATGCCTTCAAATGAAAACTACCTGATGTTTCTAGATCCTGAAGTTCAGGGGCATATTACCAACCTCAAAAAAACCAATTCTGTCTCCTTACATTTATCAAACATCTTTTAGCTACTTACTCGGTCTTTAATCATCGTTGGGAAGGGTGCTGGGTAGAAGGGGCAGCACCTCTTCTCCAATTCCCACGTGATGCTCAAAAGCACACCATGGAATCCAGGTCTGGGCCCAATGGAGAACACACTGATCTTCACTCTCCTAGCTGTGCGTAGGATTACTAATGTAAAATCCTTGCCTCAGTATCATTGACTTCAGTGGGGCTAGATTTCACTCCTAATCTTATGAACAGATAGTAAAGCATTGATACAGCAAACCCTGCAGCCCCATGCTAAAAACAGCACCCATTCCGCCAGCCAGTGGATTTCACAAGTCTCCAAAAAATCTGTGCCTCTACAAAATTAAAGTGATGAGAATTTGTGCAGGCTATACCTATGGAACGTTTTGAGTTTTTTCCTCAGCAAGATCTCCAGAGTCAGAACTTTCTGCATTAAGAGGCATTTCACAGCAGTTTCTTCTCTGCTGGCAGGGTTGATGCGTTGTGCTGTCAGTCTCCAAACATGGATCTCATGTTTCAGTTCTAAGAAGAAATAGGATTGTTTAGCTTAAAGTGATATAGAATGCATATTAAATCAGATCCCCCCCCCCAAAAAAAACAAAAAACGCAAATACACACTGAATGTCTTGCACTCCAAAGTTAAAAACCACTCAAATGGAAGCAGAATAGACCTAGTGACCTTCAAAACTATTACTGAAAGTTTGCTTTGGTGTGTAGGAAAAAATAATGATAAAGAGGAAAAACATTTTTAAAACTTTAAATGAAAAACCCCAGATTCAGTTTCCGAAGAACAAATTGTTCCCTCCAATGCTAGTGAGTGGTTCCCATTGACTGACGAAAGTACAGAGCACACATATCCAAGGACAAACTCTGGGTCTAAAATCAAACAATTTGTTTTTAACCTATACAAAATAAACTGTACCCTATTGTACTGCTAACAGAGTGCTAGCCATTTTGTAGAAATATATGAAGGTAAATGCCCCTGTACAAGGAGAATGGACAAATATAAATCAAGGAAGGTAAATGGAATGGAATGAAAAGCATGAAATTGTCCAGGAAGAATTAGCATGAACAATGCTAGCTCCATGATTTGTTGGGATTCTTTTCACTTATTTTATTTTCATATTAAAACATTGTTAATTATATAAAATAAATGTTTTAATTATCCAGTGTGGTGGAATTTTAGCATTGCATTTGAGAACATGGTGTAATGACATTAAACCATTTCCCAGGGATCCAAGTTCTGGAGACTTCTGAGATGCTTGTTCCATAGGCACTGAGACCGTTGGGAATCCTAGAGTTAACAAAAAGAACAGGAGTACTTGTGGCACCTTAGAGACTAACAAATTTATTTGAGCATAAGCTTTCGTGGGCTGCAGCCCACTTCATCGGATGCATAGAATGGAGCATATAGTAAGGAGATATATATACACATACAGAGAACATGAAAAGGTGGGAGTTGTCCTATCAACTCGAAGAGGCTAATTAATTAAGAGAAAAAAAATTTTGTAGTGATAATCAAGATAGCCCATTACAGTTTGACAAGAGGTGTGAGAATACTTAACATGTGGAAATAGATTCAATGTTTGTAATGGCTCAGCCATTCCCAGTCTCTATTCAAGCCTAAGTTGATGGTATCTAATTTGCATATTAATTCAAGTTCAGCAGTTTCTCGTTGGAGTCTGTTTTTGAAGCTTTTCTGTTGCAAAACTGCCACCTTTAAGTCTGTTACTGAGTGGCCAGAGAGGTTGAAGTGTTCTCCTACTGGTTTTTGAATGTTATGATTCCTGAGGTCAGATTTGTGTCCATTTATTCTTTTGCGTAGAGACTGTCCAGTTTGGCCAATGTACATGGCAGAGTGGCATTGCTGGCACATGATGGCATATATCACATTGGTAGATGTGCAGGTGAACGAGCCCCTGATGGTGTGGCTGATGTGATTAGGTCCTATGATGATGTCACTTGAATAGATATGTGGACAGAGTTGGCATCAGGCTTTGTTGCAAGGATAGGTTCCTGGGTTAGTGTTTTTGTTCTGTGTTGTGTGGTTGCTGGTGAGTATTTGCTTCAGGTTGGGGGGCTGTCTGTAAGTGAGGACAGGTATGTCTCCCAAGATCTGTGAGAGTGAGGGTTAACAGTAAGCCACCTAACACATTTCTAAACACAATATCTCAGGGCAGCCCAGAGGATTCAGGGGGCCTGGGGCAAAACAGGGGAGCTGAGGCACTTGTACTCACCCGGTGGCGGTCTGGGTCTTCGGCGGCATTTCGGCTGCGGGGGGCCGTTCAGTCGCTCTGCGTCTTCGGCAGCACTGAAGGACCCGCCGCCAAAGACCTGGAGCAACTGAAGGGCCCCCCGCTGCCGAAATGCCGCTGAAGATCCAGACTGCCGCCGGGCCAGGGCTCGCAGGGCCCAGGGCCTGGGGCAAATTGCCCCACTTGCCCCCGCCTCCGGGCGGCCCTGCAACATCCTTGTCCGCACTCAGGCCAAAATAATATTTAATCTGGTGTTAGTCAAAATGTGGCCTTGTCATGTTTTCTAACATAATGTGTTTTTCCCCCCCTTGGAGCCTGACATCAAGGGGGAAAACTGTATGCTCCTGCTCAGATAAAGTGATAGAATGTGTGCATTAGGAAAGAGGCTTGGATTTCCTAGAAGAATCCTAAGAAAGTACGAGCAGAATCCTTAGTTACACAGATAATATCTAATACCACCTAGAAGGAACTTTTTTCCCCAAGTTGAAAACCATTTAAGCAAATTGCCAAGGGTTAATTGCTGCCCAATTCCAGATCACCCATATAGCCAGAGAACTTTAGTGTGGGAAGAGAGGCATATGAAGCTCTTCGTGCTGCTTATTCATAATTTAGCAATAAATAATTATAAATAAGCATTTATTTCATTTACTAAGAGTTATCCTTCAGAATGTCCTGAAAACAAATATTTCCGTAGATACTGAAAGAGGTAACATTAGTTCTATTTGTTGTTGTTGTGATTATTTTGCTCATATTATTTAGTAACAGTAACATATCTATTGAAGCCCCCTACCTTTGTGACCAATTATTCGCAGTTATGAGATTATAAATCATGCAGAGATAGGCTTAACGAGGATTCACCCTTGATGAAACATTATAATTTTACATAACTGATGCAAACAAAGAGCCACATACAGCAACTGACTTACATTTTGAATGGCTTCATAAATGTGTCTTGCAGGTGCATAAATGATGGTGTTTGCCCAGAGTTTACAATCTAAGGGCTTGCCTATATGAACAGTTAGTAAATGGCAACCTGAGTTGTAAATCTACCCCACACTAGCCTGCTGTGCACCATCTGTATGAACCCTGCTACCGTGCACTAAAAGCTCCCAGTTCAATGCAAAAAATCTAAAAAAAAGTGGAGTTTGATTTCCTTGTAGGCTTCTTCATTTTCTTTCATCACTCTGATTTTGTCTTTAAAAATGTTGCTTTGTGATCCCTGTATGGTAAAGGGAAAACTTTAAGTGATCCTATATGCTGTCTCAATCTAAATGAGATAATCTTTTACACTGAATTTAAGTACATGAGGTATGAGAGATGCCAAGAAGGTTCTATCACGTTGGGATTTCTCTTGAGACCTCAATCTATTGGTTCCCCAGAACTCATCACTCAGGTTTCTTGATTGGCATACACTAAGACTAGACAGCACTGATCAGACTCACGGGTAGGGGCTAGGTACAGGGCATATCACAAATCCAAAGAGTCCAAGTTTTAATTACTTTATGTAATAGTATAGTTTGACCCTATACTGATGCATGCATCTTCCATCCTACATTATATCATGCACTGTGTGAGTGGTCAGGTTATTTTCAGGAGCAATCCCTGTACATAGCATGCTTTGTTCTCATGCCACACATACACAGCATATTTTGTTAATTTCCTCCGAGTCTGCTTATCCTCCTTCCACATATTCTTAGCCATTGTTATTGACATTATTATTTCTTGCACCTGTTTTCATACAGCTTCTCTCTTTCCTTGTCCTTCGCTATTGGGGCCCACTAACAGTTATTTTTACAACTTATCTTTTCCCTTTTCCTTGATCACTGGATCCCACTCACACCAAGATAGACCTATGTCTCACCCTTCTTATTCATGTATCCTCAAACCCAATTATCATGGCTTTGTGCCTGGTCTTCCAGCATCTCTGTTCAGTGAGAGAGTATTTTATTGTCCTTTGCAGGGGCAGACACTTGTGGAGCATGATAATGCAGTTTACCGTTTTGCTTTTTGATAGTCTCATGGTACGTCTATACTTACCTGCTGGTTCGGCGGCAAGCAATCGATCTTCTGGGATCGATTTATCGCGTCTTGTCTAGACACGATAAATCGATCCCGGAAGTGCTCGCCGTCAACGCCGGTAATCCTGCTCCACGAGAGGAGTAGGCGGAGTCGACGGGGGAGCCTGCCTGCCGCGTGTGGACCCGCAGTAAGTACCTTTAAGTTCGAACTAAGATACTTCGACTTCAGCTATGTTATTCACGTAGCTGAAGTTGCGCATCTTAGTTCGAACTGGGGGCTTAGGGTGGACCAGCCCTCAGTTGCAACACCCTGTTCAATCACATCTATTCAGTCCCCCAGGGGCCAGTCCTCCTACTATGGTTATTTGTTACTGGAAGATGGTTAAATCTTTTATCAAATTTCCTTCAGCCAAAGTAAAAAGTTGTTCCCTAGTAGCTTTTTCATTGAGTGAAACTCTGTCTTTGCTTTTTATAAAAGACACCTATCACCATCGTATTGAGGTACCAAACAGAACTGAAGAGCAGAAAGCTTAAGTCAAAAACATGTTTTCCTTTCTCGTCTTTCCTCGGCAAGATAATGTGACTTGTACTATATGTTACTATTCGGTGTGTGAAGTGCTGTGTGCAAAATGCCCATTTTAATGTGCAACAAAGTTTCAAACTAAGAGACATAAAAGTCACTTATGCAGGAAAATGAAAAGGTAGAATTTATTCCTTTAAATGTAATTAACTCTGTAGATAACCTCAGTTCCCTAAGTCTTTATTTTCAACAATAAACATATGTGTGGAATTTAGTTAATTTGGGGATTTAAATTAGTGTGATCATTTAGAATGAGGGACAGTTGAGTAGTCTGGGTTTATCTTTTTCTTCTCACCATCTACAGAATCCACTAGCTCAGGGGTCAGCAACCTCTGGCACGCAGCTTGCCACGGTAAGCACCCAGTTTGTTTACCTGCCGCCTCCGCAGGTTCGGCCGATCGCGGCTCCCACTGGCCACGGTTTGCCGCTCTGGGCCAATGGGGGCAGCGGGAAGCTGCAGCCAGCACATCCCTCGGCCCGCGCTGCTTCCCGCAGCCCCCATTGGCCCGGAACGGCGAATTGCAGCCAGTGGGAGCCGCGATCGGCTGAACCTGCGGAGGCGGCAGGTAAACAAACTGGTCCAGCCCGCCAGGGTGCTTACCCTGGCGAGCCGCATGCCAGAGATTGCCGACCCCTGCACTAGCTCATTATTACTTGCCTTAAGTAGGA